CTAAACCCGAAACCCAAGATACGAGAGACCCAAATCCCGAAACTCTAAACCCTAACCCAGAGTGATGGCAAGCATGTGGGGATGGACTCTTGCGACACCGACTGACTTGCTGACGCATTCTTGCAACACTCCGTCATGAAATACCAAGGTACTAATCATGCCTACATAGCTTCACATTCAATTCCTCATGGGGCATTGGGCTCTCTGGGCTTTAGGCTATAGTTCATCATCAGACATTGTGTGGACATGGTTTGAGGTCTGTCTCTGCGACCCTACTCCTTCTTTGCAAGTAAGCTTGGGGGGACGAGCCAGTTCATCTCAACCTCAACCTTGAGGCGCTACCCCTAAACCCTAAACCCCATAGGGTTTAGGGTTTAGGGTTCAGGGTTTAGGGTTCAGGGTTCAGGGTTTACGGTCCGGCTTTATAAAGCCGGAACCCTTCCCGCCCCGCCCCTCCCCTGGGAGAGCCGGGCCCGGAAGGTTCACCTCCTGCGTCTTGTCGAGGCATTGGCCAGGGATCGTCGTGAGCAGCGACTTGAGGGCCTCCGTTATATCGCGGTTTAGGGTTTAGGGTTTAGGGTTTAGGGTTTAGGGTTTAGGGTTTAGGGTTTAGGGAATGCCAGCCAGCGATGCTTGACCAAGTTAAAGGGCCCCAGAACCCCAAGCCCTCAATCCTGAACCCGAACATATAGGTCCTTAAGGGTTTAGGGTTTAGGGTTTAGGGGGGTATGAAACCCCAGGTTCACTTCTCCCAAAGTTTCCCTAAGGTACCTAGAACTACCCATGAACCTCCAAGTAACATGGAGACCAATGTGACCAATGTGACTAGAACGTGTGTCTGTTGGTAGCTTGTGCTTGAGAGCAGCAATTCTTGAGGCTCCTGTGTTGCACTGTCCCCACCCCTCCATGTAGACAGCAGCTGCCTGCTTCCTACACCTAAACCCAACAAACCAATCCGCCCTAAATTTCCAAACCCCTAAAGCAACCCCAAAACCCTAAAACAAAAAAACAACAAACACCCTAAACCCAAAAGCCCAGAAACCCTAAGCCCCCCCAAACCCCAAAAACAAAAACCCCGAACCCTGAACCAAAAGCCCAGAAACCCGAAACCCTAAACCAAGAAACTCTAAACCCTAAATCCGAAAAGCCTGAAACCCTAAACCCTAAACCCTATAACCCTAAACCCATTCCTTAAAAAAAAAAAAACCTTATGCGACCTGCAGCTTCACTTCGAAGTCCTCCATAAGCTTGGTGGACATCCTCGGCAGCTGGGTGGAAGCCCTAAACCCTAAACCCTATAACCCTATAACCCTATAACCCTAAACCCTAAACCCTAAACCCTAAACCCTTCGCCCAAGCTGTTCGGTTGTCAGGCTGAGGGTCCTTCGAAGAGCTGTGGTGGCCTCGTCCCTGGCGGCCTGTTAGGGTTTAGGGTTTAGGGTTTAGGGTTTAGGGTTTAGGGTTTAGGGTTTAGGGTTTAGGGTTTAGGGTTTAGGGTTTAGGGTTTAGGGTTCAGGGACTAAAGGAGGGGCCCTGAAAAGGGACCTTAGGGGCTTCTTATAAGGCATATGTAGGGGTTCTATGGGGGTTGCCCAAATTCGGGGTACCTTTTTGGGGTCGGGGTCAAAAATAGGGGTAACCTATCTTGGGGGGGTTCCTAACAGCAGCCCAACATACAGAGATGTCAAAATGAACATGTAGAGCCCTACCCTGAATTGTCTTCTGCAGGGATTCCCACACCGCGGCAGTATCCCCTTCAGCAGTCCTTCACCCCTGTCATCATCCCGGCTTTCAACAAACCCCACGCATCCTACATGGAAAACCTGCATTTGTCAAAATATGTTAAGCTGCAACGAGCAAAGATTGCTTGGCGTTCGCTCCGAAGCCTGCTAACACCTAGGTTAGTTGGACTGGGGTATTTTGGGCAGCTGATGCAATAATCATACGGGGGATTGCCAAGCGACGAAACTGGTAGGTACTTAGCCTCCTGTAATGCTCATATCCGTCAAGGCCCCAGCAACCTTCACAGCACTTTGTAATGGTGCACCATTTTTTGCATCCGGACTCCCGTGGGTGCTGCCACCCTGAACCCTGAACCCTGAACCCTAAACCCTAAACCTTAAACCCACACATAATCAGCCGTCGCCTGCAACTCGTCCTGAATGGCTTTCAGGGTCCGCTCAGGCCTCGGCTGCTGTAAGCTTGCCCTTTTGGGTAGTTGTAAGTAGGGTTTCGACTCTCACACTCGCGCGCGGTTTACGGTTTAGGGTTTAGGGATTTAGGGTTTGGGTTTAGGAATTAGGGTTGAGGGTTTAGGTTTAGGCTTCATGGGCAGCTATGATTCGAGGTATTTACGTACCCTAAATACGGTTATAAGTATAGTTACTACACTTACAACCCTACTTACAGCTACCCATAAGCCTCCAAGTAATGTTGCGTCGACCACTCGCGCGCGGCAGGCCAGTAGGGTTTAAAGTTTAGGCCTAACATCCAACCCCAGACAGCACGAAACCTTTATGGATAATCTCTCTGACATGGTTCAGGGTTCAGGGGTTCAGCGGGTTTCTAGGATGTAGGGTACCCTAAACCCTAAACTCTATATGTGGTGAAAGTTTGATCTTGGTCCCGCCATGTCTTGAGTTTCAGTACAAGTGGCGCCGCCAGAGCAGCTTGCAGTTGAGACGTGAGTACTTCCTGTTCAGGTGTGAGGGGGTTTAGGGTTCAGGGTTTTTCTGCCACCCGCCTAGCTGATGTTATCGTTTAGGGCTTAGGGGAATTTTTTTTCACTCCTGCACAGCTGGGGCGAATCCACATCGCAGGGCGACGACGAGGTATGTTTGGGCGTATCTGAACAGGGTCTCAAGACATTGCCAACCACCGGCCCGCGAAACCCAAGACGCAACAACAACGGTCTCCACAACCCTCAACACCAGATACTTACAACCCTTAACTCAGGCAATGACTTGCGACCTACCTAGTCTCTCGACCACGCAATTTGCGTGGCAGACTGCCTGGCTATCAGGGATTCTCCCCGACCACACAAGTGCCTGCAACCAGTCACGCACACCCAGGAAATCCCAATGCAAAGCTGCCCCAGAAACGTACAACAGAGATATGATCACAAATCCCTTCAGCTGCAGAGACATGTTCTACCTGCTTTCATCATCGATGTCGACTCAAGGACTTGCATCCAGCTACATCTACAGACCCACACCAAATAACACCGTATCCTCGCTGGATGCATGAACCGAGCCCACTGCGATTAAGCGATCCTTGTTACAGCGCCCTCCTACCACCCACACGAGTAGAGTAAAACAAGGGCACATCGTAGCAAGGCTCGCCAATGTACCGACCAGGCAACTGCTGGGTGCCTGCTGCATCAGCTACGCGGCGCGTATCCTCATGTCCCTGTCCCTCTACGACATGAACCAAATCACCCCTAGTTCAAAAGGACGGAGAAGGCGAAGGGGCTCATGCTTGGATCCACGCTCGCCGGTTGTCTACTAATTGGGGTTTTGTGAATTCAAGCAAGCGTGCAGATGTACCAGAATGCCGAGCTCAAACTCGAGTCCGGAACGCTCCAAATTCCCAATTCCGGAGGGACAAACTCATGGCATGTCTGTGTGCTGACACAAATTAAGGCGTGTGGGCACAAATTGACACATGCAGCAGAGTTACGAATTACGAATTACGAATAGCCTGTTTGTTGCCACTTGCAGACACAAATTAGGGCGTGCGGGCACAAATTGACACATGCAGCAGAATTACGAATAGCCCGTTTGTTGCCACTGGCAGACATGCGAGAGTGTGCGAAGAGTCAGCTCCCCAGTCCAGAAATTGCACGGATTCGCCACGACAGGCGTGCGAGAGTGCGCGCATATTCAGTTCCAGTCCAGAAACCGCACAGATTCGCCATTTCCCCACACCAGAGACTCGACCATTCTCGAGTCAGCCACTACCGGCCCAGCTCCATACTGGCCCCGTACTTGCCAGAGATTCTGTATCTGCCCAGACTGTCAGGTACGGTGTGGGCGGAAGCGGATCTGCAGCAGACACCCCGTTGCCATCCGCATCCGAAAACTGTCCTCCAGATGTACCAGGCCAGATAGTTCAGCGAGGGCAGTCCCTGTCACCATCTCAGCCGTCAGCATCCCGCAGGGTGTGGCGCAGTGGCGGTGTGCAGAGCGTCAGCATAGTGTACGTGTTTCCTTGCGAGACACGCTGGTCGCTGCTGCAGCAACTGGCTTGCCAGCCCTGTTCACCTAGCGTCGTGCCAAATTCAGCGCCCGTCGGGCGGCTTGTAACTCGTCAGGCGCCCCCCGTCGTTACTGCCAAGGCCAGGCCAACAAGTCATCCCCGCCAGCGGTTAGGCTAACTGGCCATTCAGGACACCATGGCGGCGGGGAGGTGCTGATATACTCTATTTGCCAGCGCCCGAAAGAGTGAAGGACAACAAGACCCTTAAAGATGATGCCGTATCCTACCCTCATCACACTACTCAAGGTTATCCAAGTAGACTAACGGCCGGTCGCTCTGCAGGGACGGAACAACGAAGAGCAGAAGAGTAGGAGGAAGTCGACACGAGGCGGAGGGGGGGGGGGGGCGGGGAAGGAAGGGGATGCTCGCACGCGCGCCCAACTTTCAATCCACCCGTAAACCTGGTGTTCTCAGGGGAGGCTGTTTAAGCTGGCGCCCAAAACACATTCCTCGGGGAGAAAAGGTGTACAACTCCGCTCTCGTGCATCTCTCCTCTCCTCTGCTTTCTTCTGGCTTCTGGCAGATGTGAATAGGATGGCATATTAGTCTTGCAATCTTTTCAAACATGGTTCAAACAGTGAATTAGCCAATGCAGGTATGCACACGCATCCTCTTTTTTTTTCGGAGAGAAGGCGAGAAATCCCGGTTTGAGAGCTAAGGCGGTCCCCGGGCTGGAGAGGCACGTTTCTTGCAAACATAGCCTCTGCACTCGGAGAGTCTCAACATGAGGGGTCCGTAGCTCATTACGGTTCATTCTCACCATCACTCGCGATTTCTGCAGCATGCTGACCATTCTCTTCCAGGGAGTCACTACAGAGCACCGCCAAGCACCTGCGTTTGTAAGGGACATCCACAACCGGCCCTTCACGTTCTTCGTCGGAAGAGAGCACTAGTTCTACCTCCGATGTTGCGGGCGCGCTGGGGGCCTGACGTCTCCTCCACAGTTGGCTAGGGCTCGAGCGAAAGGCTTCCCTAAGAGTCAGCTGATGCTGGGTCGTCATCTGCTCACTTTCATGCAGGTGGTCCTGCGCTGCCGACAGGATAGCCTGCGGATGCGGGACACAGAAGCCCAGCTCCCTCAGCTCGAGGTGCAGCGATTCATGTATGTGCAGGGCTCCTTGTGGGACATACGCCAGGAAAACAACCCTACGGTTGCCTTCCCACGCTTGTGTTGCATGTAGCTGCGCCCTAGGGGAGAAAACAAAGGGCCTCGCTCGGATGTCCCAGTGGTGTCCTTTGACGAGTCGACCCTCAAAGCCTCGGTACACGACAGGTTCCTGACACGGTGCTCGGCACTTACACTGAACCCAAAGTCCTCCACCTACAAGATCATCCGTTAGGCCCAGTGCTGCACTGGGCAGAAAAGAGTTGAGGTGGTCTTTATGGACCTCAGCATCCGCTCCTTCCCTGATTATAATACTTGCAAAGTACAGATTGGGGAGGTGTGTGCGTGCAAAGCGGGTCAGAACCTCGGTGACATTCGGCAGTGTGCGTGTCATCTTGAAGGGGTGCTTGCGGGACCTGCTACTCATGCCAAAGGCCGCCATGAGTGCACCTCTTCGATCCTTCATACATTTGGCTTTGGGGATGAGGTCCCACAGACCGACCAGCTGATCCTTAGTGATTCCATTCCCTTGCAGAATTCGCTTCGCCTCAGCTTCTACTGCCGAGAGGGTCGGCTCTTCAATGCTCACTTCATGTTCTGGGTCGGCGGACGTCTCTCTTTCTACCAGGACATCTCCCATCCCTCTCTCTGTGCCCTATGCAAGATTGGTGCGGCGCGACTTCAAGCGGAGCGAGAGAGCAACCAACAGAGGAGGAGAGGGAACGAGAGAGGAGCGACCTTCCGTAAACAAGTTTGCGCTGTCCCCGGAGTTGAGCCGCTCACGCTAGTGCTGTTTGAAAGTGTCTGGCTGTTCATGCTACGGCTTGCAAGAGCTGTCACATGCAGGAGCTGGAATATGCGAGCCCCCCCCCCCCCTCCCCACTCAAAGTCACCTTATCAGTCAGCAGCAGTCAGTCAGCAGCAGCAACAACAAAAAAGGGGGGGGGGGGGGGGCGACCGGCAAGAAACGCACGAGCAGGCGATCTTGTGACTATTATACCTGTTAGCCCCAGCTCCAAGTTCGTCATCGTCGTGAGCACCAATTTCGTCACGTCAGATAAGAAAGGGGGGGGGGGGTGGCTACACAGAGGGGCGGGAAAGTCAATGCCCGGCTCACGGGTTCAAGGGAGGAGAGATCAATGTACTGAAAGAAATCCCAACCGAAGCTGATCCCTAAGGCGGGCCATCTTTTTGTCTCGATGCACCATGTCGTGGCACTTACAGCCACACGGTGGCGCACACCGCTGAAAGGTCAGTGAGCCAGGACGGCCAGTGCCATCTGTGCATGTACAAAAGACGGCTCACTTAGCTGTTCATCTACATGTACCGACCTCTGTGACGCTCCCGCCCAGAAAACCAACCAAAGAACATAAACCAAAGGAGGTAAGACTCTCAGCCCGAAGTGCACAGGACGAGAGGTCGAGGTGACGTCGTATGTTGTCGTGTGGCTCATTGCCTAGCACTCTCCAAGCCGGTCAATCGAGATAAACACCAAAGTGAAAAGGAACAAGGACACACTGTATGACAGTAATCCCTCGGGTCCGGCTAGGCGTGTAGCAAATCGAATTACCGTGAATTAGGTTGAATTGGGGGGGGAGCATTGAATTTCGGGAGGCCTACAGGGCATGCCTCAGCTTGCAGCTGGCCAGGGTGTTCGGGGGGGACTTGCAGAACAAGCGACATAAACCACATAAGGCAATGGAGATGCGGACCTAACAGGGGACCCCACTAGGCTATCGATACCCAGTTCATTGGTTCGGGCTTCCCTGGTTCTGCGCCGAGGAAATCATACCCAAGAGACTCTTCAAAAGTTCCGCCTGCTGCGCAACCAAAGCTGTACTGTTAGGCGGCTGCTGCGCGTTCGCCGGCGGGACATGATTCGCAAGCTGGATCGGACGAATGGTCCTTGCGTGGGAGGGCCTTGTCCGCATCGACCTTTGCGGCGATGTCCTGGATGATGGCGGCCTGCTCCTTTTCGAAGCGACTCGTGAGGCCAAAAATATCATTGCAAAGCTTTTCCAAAGCCAGCACTTTGACCAAAATGCTCTCCTGGCAATCTTCCGTCTTGAGAGTAATCTCGTCGAAGTTCTGCTTGACGTAGGCGTAGGTAGGGAGCGTCTCGAGCACCGCTTTGATACTCTGCAGGGCACCTTGCAGTGGCTGGGTTGTTGAGCTCAGTTGGGTCAGTGCGGTTCCAAGCGGCGCGGTCTTGTCGGCGATCTGCGTTGTGAGTTTTTGCTGCTGGACCGCTAGCTCCTTTCTGACTTCGACATTGCCATCCTTGATTTCCTGCTGTGCATCCTTGACCATCATGACTTTACGTTCCGTTTCAGTTAGCTTGGCATACACAGCGTCGATCTTCTTCTCGATGGTGTTGAAATTTTGCAGCGTCAGCTTCTCAAGGGCCGATGTCGCAGCTTTGGCTTCCATGGCTTTGGTGCAGCCTTTCACCGTTTCCACCTGAAGCATGGAGAGCGTCTTGTCAAGGTCCTGAACCAGGCCCTTGAAGTGGCCTGGGAGGGCCTCAGAAAGGGCTTGAACCAGCTTGTCCTCTACTGCTTTGTTGGCCATCTGCTGGAACGCTTTGAGCAACGTCTGGCTCTGTTCTCCCAGCAGGTGTTAAACGTCCCCCACACCCACTTCATAGCGAGCAGCGGACCTCCCCCTGGATGGGTGGCAGCCGCGCCTTCCTGGCTTCGTCGGCAACACACCCAGCACTTCATGCAGCCGCAGCGCCGACGAAATGGGCACTTGCATCCAAAAGGGCAATTGCATCCAATTACTTGCATGCATCCATAAATTAATAGTGGCAGCGCTCCCACAAGTAGCGTCAGCGCAATGAAGCGCCAGTTGGGGCTGTTGATGCCCTGCATGGCTTCCATGGCTAGCATGACACTTGGGTATGCACTGCAGGCTTCGCTTGGCAATAATGCAGGCTTGAAGGGCCCAAAAGAGCTTGGCGCATCTGAAAATTACGTGCAAAACAAATTAAAAGGAGCGAGCGAAACAAAATCAATTTGAGTTGACGGGGGGCAAAAAGGGGAAGGGGGGGGGGGCAACAGCAGAAAGAGGAGAGCGTGGAGAGGAGCAAGATCGGTACTCCTTAGGGGAATTTAGGGTTTAGGGTTAGGGTTGCTTCGACTGTCACACTCGCACGAGGCAGGCGAGGGTTTAGGGTTTAGGGGTTGCCGATGCTGTCCTGCAGCATCCTTAATCGCAATCCTAGATGGAAGGTGTTCACTCATGATGTTAGAGTACATAGTTGAAGGTTCATGGGTAAGCATAAGTAGGTTATAAGTGCCCCAAAAAGGGCTATAAGTGTAGTTACCATACTTATAACCCTACTTATCACTACCCGTGAACCTCCAAGTAGGGCTTCTTCGACCTGTGCAGGTACGTTGCAACAAAGCATCCCTCTAACCTTAGGGTAATTACATGATCCCTTAATATGGGCCCTTAAAGGGGACCCTCCATAACCCCCTTATTATACCCTCTGCAACGCAAGGGGCCATGGAACTACCCTAAGAAGGAATAAAAAAGGTTAAGCCGTATTGTTCATACATAATAAGGACCCGAAAGCGATAATCCCCAACAACTTAAAGCTCATGTCTTGCCTTAGTAAGCATAGGGGGACCACCCTAAACCCTAAACCCTAAACCCTAAACCCGAAACCCTAAACCCTAAACCCTAAACCCTAAACCCTAAACCCATGCTTAAAAACCACCCTTAGATTTGCCCCGTTGATCCCCAAAACAGCGACCCTACGATAGAAACAACCCTCTCACATGCCGAGCCCCTAAACCCTAAACCCTAAACCCTAAACCCTAAACCCTAAACCCTAAACCCTAAACCCTAAACCCTAAACCGCAGTCCCCTCAACGTCCTGGCTGGCGACGCGCGCCTTAGTACACGTGGTTCGCGGGTCGTCCCATAAAACCGTTAGGGTTTAGGGTTTAGGGTTCAGGGTTCAGGGTTCAGGGTTCAGGGTTTAGGGTTAAGGGTTTAGGGTTTACAAGACTCATACTTGGAACACAAGCGGGCCCTTAGTACCCCTTAGCTAAGGAATAGACCTCTTAAAACCCCTGAGTTAAGGAATGGACCTCTTAATACCCCTTAGTTAAGGAATAGACCTCTTAATACCCCTTAGTTAAGGAATAGACCTTGGACCTAGGGTTTCGGGTGTAGGGCGACTACTTGGAGGTTCAGGGGCAGTTCTATGTAGGGTTCTGAGTTTGGCAACTATATATCAAACCATACTTGTATCAGTACATGTGGATCTTGTGGACCTTGTGGACCTTCGCCTGGCCCTCAAAACTAGTTGTAATCATCAGAAGAATAACAGCAAGACTAACAATCATATTCAGAAGATTTAGAACCACAAAGAGAAACTACTAGCAACCAGAAGACTTTATAAATAGCAGAGCTATAAGGAGCCTGTGGCAACAGAAGCTCCGAGAAGGCCCTTCCTTTAGGTCGACCTAAGGGGGTGGAGGGTTTTTTGGGCAAGAAGTAGCGGGATAGGAACCCTAAACCCTAGACCCCTTTTTTTGAGCCCAAACCCTAAACCCTAAACCCTAAACCCTAAACCCTAAACCCTAAACCCTATGGGGTTTCGGGCTAGGCTAGGTCGTAAGGGGCCCGAACTGAATACGGGGCTGGAGCATGCCGGAGCCATGAGCTGCCTTGCCGCCATGCTGCCGTCATCTCCTGCAGCCGTGCCTTGGATCTTCATGTTCCTTAAGCCCTCACTCATGAGGCTGTTTCGTGGCCTGCCCTCAACCCGATTCAACATCAAAATATACATATGTGTATATATATATATATGTGTGTATATATATATGAGTGTATATACATATAAACACAAACTTACATGTGCTATAACCTTTTTTGTTCAGGCTCTACGGGAGCCCAACCTAACCCACCCAGATCTGTAGAGCGAGGCAACCCACCAAGAGGCAGAACAAGTGCGTTGTGTGCCTCATGATTTAGGGCTGCAGGACCCTAAACCCCAGACCCTAAACCCTAACCCTAAACCCCAGACCCTAAACCCTAAACCCTAAACTGTGGGGTCTAGGGTCTTGGGGCTTATGGAACATACTTCGATCCAAACAAAGGGCCATGTTGGGAGGTTCAGGGGTCGTTCGAAGCCGGGTTGTAAGTATGGTATCGGTGCTGATAACACTATGTCGGGTACCTATGCCTAAACCCTAGCCCTAAACCCTAAACCCTAAGCCCTAAACCCTAAACCCTAACCTAAACCCTAAACCCCTAGTGGTGGTGGAATCCCGAAAGCCTCAGGCCCATTCTCTGGGAAGCTGCACAACGTGCTTCACCCAAACCCTAGGGTCCCTAAACCCAAACCGTAAAACCCAAACCCTAAACCCAGAACCCAGGGTTTTGGGGTGATGGACCCCAAAAAAGCACGGAAATGGTGGAAACCCTAAGATGCGCTGTGTGCTTTACTAGACCCGGGAGTAGCCTAGGAATAAAAGGGTGCCCTTTTGGGTTTTAAGGGGATTATACGGGAACCCCAACCCTAAAAAAAGGAAAAAGGGCCTACTCCCGGTCCTAGATTACCCTAAATCTAGGGATTCAAGGTTCCAGGGTCAAGGCATCTGGGTCGATTCTGGTGGAAACCCT